TGGCGATTTTCTTCGCGTAATCGATCGTTTGCTAACAATTTTGAGCCTAAAAAGCCGTTTTTGAGGGTTTTTTCTTGGCGTTTCCACAAACCGAAGTGTGTAGTCAGGGGTGGGCAAGGTCTTGCAGCTGGAAAATCCCGGCAGTCCATTTTCCGGGGATCCGGCAGTCCTTTTTGGGCGGGGAAAGGGGCTTTTTGAGAGGATTTTCGGAATAATTGCGGTTCATCCCCGGCATACGGTAATTTGACGGGCCGAAAGTGGCAACATATTGTAGATCGCAGTATTCTGCGTCGAACCATATTCTACATTACCAATCGGCAGTCCGTCTTTGACAAATTTTCGGGGGCTCTACATGAAACAAGCACTTTTTTGAGGGTTTTTCCGGATTAATTCCGGAATATGATGATTTCCGGCGATGGGAGCGGTATCAGATTGTAGAGCTTGTTATTCTGCGTCGAACCATACCCCACACGGCCCACCGGCAGTCCGACTTCGAGGAGATGTTGGACTGCCGGACCGAAAAACCTCATTTTTTGAGGTTTTTCCGGCATAGTTCCGGAATACGGTAATTTGAGGACCTGAATGTGGCACCAGAGTGTAGATCTCGTCATTGCGCGTCGAGTCATGCCCCACACGGCCCACCGGCAGTCCGACTTCGAGGAGATGTTGGACTGCCGGAGGAGAACATAAAATCTGCGAATGCTCAAAACCAGGTTTTCGAGGGTCGAGTGCCGCCCCTTTAACCGGCTATATCTCCGGCCCGGAAGCTCGAAACCTAAGTTTAAGTAGCTCAATTTGAAGATGAGAATGAGGGCTATCGGATGGCGTGCCAACCTTCGTGAGAAATTTTTGGATTTCGGAGATCCTGGACTGCCGAGGTTGAGGACCATTTGCAGGAGCACATTTTTCCGGTTTCTTCCAAAAATCATATCTCAGTGATTTGTCGATGCATTTGCCTGAAATTTTCGGACAAGATGCACCGTAAGCTGATCTATCCAAGGCCATGATGGGCGGGGCATCGGCAGTCCGATTTTCGGGGTAAAAAATGACTTTTAGCATTCGCAGACCATTTGCAGCGACCAAATTTGTCTAACAAATGATGAATTTGAGGGGAAATAAAGCCACTTCGGATTTTAAGATGAATAGGGTTTTCGGAAACGCTGAATAAGCTAGAGTTGGTCTCAGTCCTCTACCAATTTGGGCAAAAACCGGCGGGCGCTGGTCCCAGAAACGGGTCGGGGCGCTGGTCTAAGGGCTAGTAATATTGCATTTTTTTCGGCGCCTTCGGCGCCATTGTTGCCCCCTGATTAAAGAAGGCACCTACCTGATGTATTTTGGATGTGTTCTCCGTATTTTGAAATAAATATTTTTAATAAATTTTGTGTTGCATGTTATACGACGAAGCAGTCTAATTAAACTGAAGAGGATGATGACGAAAACCGAGCGGAGAAAGTACATGGACGACGATTCTCTAAAATTCATTCTTGCTAAACTTCCTATGTATTCCTACAGACTACAGACTACAGACCTATATATTCTTTCCACGTCAACGTCAGCTTCTGATTCATGCCAAATTTTATTCGACGCTTCCGACGGATGTAGCTCATCGTGACGTTCGCCCTACAATTCTGGAATTAAGACGGTGGAATACTAAAAATCTTACATCATCCTGCCTAAACTTCTCAATTCTTGCACCTGGAATTAATTTCATCGCAGACTTCAACTGAATAAGCGGCAAAAATTTAGAAATCGTCTACTACTGCTGCTACTAAAATTCAGAAAAAATTTGGAGCCGTTTCGAGTATCGTTTCGGAATTCCTAAGCCCGGAACCTAACGAAAATCAGTTAAATCCCGTACTCGGCGCTCTTCTGGACGATCGCCCCCAAAGTCGTCCTCATGAATGTCCATGGTACCGTACACCTTAGGTAAAAAAATCTAAGCGATCCGATTCGTTTAAGGTACCCTCCGGGATCAGCGAATGTTTACCTTAAAAATCATCGACTTTGGGCATTGGACATGTTTTGGTCCCCGTTGACCCCCTTAACCTGAACCGATCAGGACCAAATTTGGCCTCATGATACTACAGAGTCTGCTTTGTCGGATCCCACAGCTATTTGCCCCATTAGTCTCATAACCTCGGAGCTTGGGACCAGCGAATTTCGAATCTTTTGGGCGGACCTTTCAGTTTTTCCTGCCTAAGTCTTACATTTCGGATTTTCGTCGCCTGTCCGCTCTCATCCATAGAAAGCTTTTATTTCTCTTTATTTTGATATATAAATCATAAAATTCGGCCCCGAGTACGCGGAGCTACGGACCGGCGACACTTTGGGCGGGGTCCCGTTTCACACTTTTATTAAGGGTTTGGCACCTAAAAATTCATAACTTTTCAGTTTCTGCATGGATCGTCCCCAAAGTCGTCCTCATGAATGTCCATGGTAGCGTACACCTTAGGTAACAATATCTAAGCGATCGGATTGGTTTAAGGTACCCTCCGGGACCAGCGAATGTTTACCTTTCACACCTTTATCAAGGGTTTAGCACCTCAAAATTCATATCGCTGCGGTCCTTGGCTTTATCGTCACCAAATTTATTAAGCATGATTAGCAGGCTATTGTATACAATGTGTAAAAGTTTCTAAACGTTCCGAGCTCTGTAAACCACTCTTCGGGACGGTGAAAGGTAGGTGAAAGGAGCCAAACGGGTTATGCCCAAAGTATCGGCGGTCCCTAAGGGTACTTTAAATCGCTCCAACCGCTTAGATATTTTTCAACATTGTCTAATATGTCTTGATCATTATGCTGTGCAATTTTCAAAAATATCGGAACTATTACTGAAAAGTTATGATTTTTTAGGGGCTAAACCCTTAATAAAAGTGTGAAAGGTAAACATTCGCTGGTCCCGGAGGGTACCTTAAACCAATCCGATCGCTTAGATATTGTTACCTAAGGTGTACGCTACCATGAACATTCATGAGGACGACTTTGGGGACGATCCATGCAGAAACTGAAAAGTTATGATTTTTTAGGGGCTAAACCCTTAATAAAAGTGTGAAAGGTAAACATTCGCTGGTCCCGGAGGGTACCTTAAACCAATCCGATCGCTTAGATATTGTTACCTAAGGTGTACGCTACCATGGACATTCATGAGGACGACTTTGGGGGCGATCGTCCAGAAGAGCGCCGAGTACGGGATTTAACTGATTTTCGTTAGGTTCCGGGCTTAGGAATTCCGAAACGATACTCGAAACGGCTCCAAATTTTTTCTGAATTTTAGTAGCAGCAGTAGTAGACGATTTCTAAATTTTTGCCGCTTATTCAGTTGAAGTCTGCGATGAAATTAATTCCAGGTGCAAGAATTGAGAAGTTTAGGCAGGATGATGTAAGATTTTTAGTATTCCACCGTCTTAATTCCAGAATTGTAGGGCGAACGTCACGATGAGCTACATCCGTCGGAAGCGTCGAATAAAATTTGGCATGAATCAGAAGCTGACGTTGACGTGGAAAGAATATATAGGTCTGTAGTCTGTAGTCTGTAGGAATACATAGGAAGTTTAGCAAGAATGAATTTTAGAGAATTGTCGTCCATGTACTTTCTCCGCTCGGTTTTCGTCATCATCCTCTTCAGTTTAATTAGACTGCTTCGTCGTATAACATGCAACAGAAAATTTATTAAAAATATTTATTTCAAAATACAGACGATCAATGTTATCGGTAGGACAGAAAAAGTACGGGTTTACATGCCATAATGATACATTTTCTTCATTTTTCTCCGAATTCTGATCGCTTTTTCAAAAAAAATCTGCGCCGCTGCCGCGGCGCTGGTCTAACCCCCAGTCAGCCGCCGCCTGGCGGCGGTCCATTTGGGCACTTTTTCAAATCTCTAGCACACTGGTTGGTCTGTCTGTCTGTCTGTATGCCTGTCTTTCTGTCTGTCCGCCTGTATGTCAGTATTTGTCGGTTTGTCTGTCTGTCTGTGGGTTCGTCTCGGTCTGTCCGCATTGGGAAATTATGGTTGTGGATATCGCAGTTACCTTTTTTTTTAATCTTATAATTTTTCCGGCGCTTCGCGCCGTCTTGCTTCCCCCTCCGGCGGTCCCCCCCCACACCCCGAAATCCCCGGCAGTCCCCCATTTGCAGATCTCCATACCTTGCCCACCCCTGTGTGTAGTACAATTTATCGTAACCGTAATCGGTTAAGCGCGCATTTTGATCGCGTAATTGATCATTTTCTATGAATTCTCTGTCCTAAAAAGCCGTCTTTGAGGGGTTTCTTTGCGTTTTGAGGCTTCCTAAGCGGTAAATTTACGCAAAAAACATCCCAAACGCCGTCCTACATTTTTGTACGATTTAGTACTACCGAAATCGGTTCATCACATAATTTCATAGCGTAATTGATTGACACCTCGATTCTGAGGCTAAAACCGCGGATTTTGGTTTTAATATTCGCCATTCTGGCGGTCCCGAATTGCGCGCTAATGACGAATTTCGTGGAAAAAAAAGAAAAAGAAGAAGAGTTAGGAAAATGCTAATATTTACCTAATAGCAACTTTTAGGCTCGACTTGAAGACGAATCAACTGACCGAAACGTGGGCCCATCAGCTGCCGCATTGGGAGGATTCGACGGTTGTGGCAATTGCTGGCAAGCCGGCTTCAGGTGCGTGCATTTTCCTGTAGCTCCTAGACGATCAACAACGACTTGAAGCCGTTCGGCCACATCCAGCCCGAACGGCTTCCAGTCCTCGCGAAAATTTTCTAAGGCACTTTCCTGAGGTCTCTATCGATTAGGTGCTGTTTTTTTAGCTTGTATTCTAGAGAAAAATGCATAGTCGCCTATAGTCTAATCCCATTCTTTTAGAGCGCACCCACTCTCAAGGCCGTGTCCTCGCCGACCGCTCCGTCCTCTACAAGTATGTCAACCCGAACCTGATCGCCGTCGGGTTGTTGGCCAAATCCGCGCCCCAGCTCAACATCCATCTTTTCGGTAATTTTATTGCTTTATTGTAGCCTAATGCTCAATTTGAATTTTTTTCATCGTTTTTTTAGACTCTGTCACCGGCCAAATCGTCCATTCTGCTCGCTTGCCCAAGGTGACGGCCCCCGTCTACATGGTCCACTGCGAGAACTGGGTTGCGGTAAGTTTTCTGGAGATTTTTTGGAGGGCAAACTGGCAGAGATTCTTTAGGAAATTTCGGTTGATCCTTAAAAATTTATCAAAAAATGTAATGTTGATAATAAAACTTAAAAACTCGTTTTTAGTACGCCTACTGGACGGAGAAGGGCCGCCGAACCGAGATCGGCATCCTCGAGCTGTTCGAGGGCGATGAGCAGCAACATGTGGTAATTTTGGGATCCAAGTTTCGGACAATGTTTTTTTTTAGGAAACGTTCGACTCGGAGGAGCCGCTGAAACGCCCGCTGCACGTCGAGCAGGCGTCTTTCATCTTCAGCCAGGGCATCAGCTCGATGGCCGTCACCGAGACGGGTTCGTTGTGGGGGGTTTTGAGGAATTAAAGGGAGCGGGAAGACAGGAAAACAATCGATTTTTAAATTTTAAATTTTTTTAGTTTTTTAGCTGCGGTTTTCTCGATTTTTTAAACGATTTTAGAGGAGCAGATTTATCTTGGAATCATCGGATTTTCTAATTTTTTCGCAGTTTTATAGAGGAAGAATTTTTAATCAAGTGGATTTTTCTGGTTTAGTTCTATTTTTCTAATTTACTCTATTTCTCAAGACATTTTTTATAGGAGCAGAATTAGCTCCAAATTCAACCACTTTATTTTACTATTTTTCGCGGTTCTGGAGGTGCAGGCTTCTTCAAAAATTATATCAATTGAATTTAAAAGATGCCGATTTCTCGATTTTGTTAAAATTGTAAAAGCGTTTTAGAAAAATTTCGATATCCTATTCTATAAGCGAGAAAAGTATGTCTGTTTTCTGTACAGCCGATTTCTCGGCCGCCAGGCCGAATTTTGAGCTGATTTTTGGCATGGAGGTGGAGAAACACATTTTTCAGTGACGCATTTTTTTGTTTTTCGAAATTCCTTCATTTAACGTTTTTACAAGCAAAATAGTGAAAAATCCTTAACATCTTGGCCGAAAAAAGGTTTGTTCAGAGGATATCTCTCGAACCAAATGGAATTAGGCGCTAATTTTTGGAGGGCAGATTAAAAATTACATTCTCCTGTGATATAATTCTGGGTTTTGGCAGATTTTATAATCTAAAATTTTTAGGAGCATTTTTCCAAAAAGTCCTTAACAAAATGGGCCAAGAGCCGTGGTGTCCGGAGCATAACTCGAAGCTCAGATGGAATTTCGGGCTGTAATTTGGAACACTTATGTATTCGATAGTAGGGATCACGCGCACCTTATTATTTTTGCAAATTTTCGGCGCATTTAGATTCAAAAAGAGAATTTTGTAAAGTTACCAGAAGTTCTCCCTCCCGGGATGAGCCCGCCCCCAGGACAGAAGACAGAGGCCTTTCCCGCCCCCGTCGCCATCTCGCGGTGGTGGAGTGGATTGCCCCCCGGTATACCAAGCGCGTGTTCCGGGTTCGAATCCACGCCGAAGTTAACCTTTTGCTTTTTGGGAGTTCAACAACAAAACATATTTCTAGACTCTCCATGTGCGCGATTTAGGCCTGGCCCTCGCTCTAGTGCCGCAGGGCAAAAAAGGTACTTGGCCCAGGCTCTGGCGCCGCAGGCCAACTATGGTTCCTTGACCCAGGCTCTCGCGCCGCAGGCTAACGCGGACGAAAAATCAGTTGCTAGCCCCGCAGGCCAAAGTTTCTAGCGCAAAACTGGCTCTGCCGCCGCAGGCCAAAGAATGTTTCCTTGATCAGGCTCTTGCGCCGCAGGCTTGAATAAAAGGAAAGGGAATTCATGATTCCTAGACGGATCCAGTGGAAAAGGGCCGCGAAGCGGTCTTTTTCCACTGGTTTGTGAATAATCTAAAAAAATTCTGTTCGATCAAATTATTTAAACTTGTTTTTGCGACACGACCGTGGTCTTTTCAGAGCAAGGCGCCTCAAACCGCGCGATCCTCGTCTCGTTGCCGTTCGGCAACATTTTCGAGGTGAACCGCCGCATCCTGGACCCGCTTCGCCCGATGGAGCTGACCCCGGAGATGAGGGAGGAAGGCGGTTTCATCCCGTACATGCCCGAGATCCCGATTGCCACCGAGGAGATGCTCAACTACAACCAGACGGTTCACCACGTCAACGGCATCAAGACTGCGTACGTTTTTCGGTGTCAATTTTTGAAACTGAGTTTTTTAGGCCGTCCGGCTTGGAGTCGACGTCGCTGGTGTTCGTCTACGGGCTCGACCTCTTCTACACGAGGGCCACGCCTTCTGGAAATTTTGATGTGCTCAAGGTGAGGATATTGAGGATTATCGATTTCTCGGATCTGTTTTGTTAGCGGGGGGGGGGGGGGGGGCGGACTTTTTCGCGGGGGAAAACTAACTTTTTCGAACGTTTTCGTGGTGTCTCCATTAATGATATATAGCTCTTTTAATAGCATTTCCTGCGCCTTTAGATAAAAAAAACATAAAAAATTAGCCAAAGCCTCCAGAAAATGGCTTTTTTTTGTTGAAAAATCCACCCCCGCTAACCAACTAGCACCGATTTAGGGGCGCGTTTCGTGCTCTCTTTTACCTTGCGTAATCGATTACGCCCGATTTGCAATGTAAAAATAAAAATAAAATAAGGAAATAAAAGGTAATACTAGCTAGATTTTGGTTAAAATTAAAAAATTTTTTTGACAAGCCAATTCCCGCATTTTCAGGACGATTTCGACCACATTCTGATCTGCATCGTGCTCGCCGCCCTCTTCATCGGATCGTACGTCTGCCGGAAGTTGGCCCGCAACAAGGCCCTCCAACAGCAATGGGCCTAGTCTCAACGCTTCATCATCCCATTTCCATCGCGTAATCGGTTGTCCCCCCTCGTTAGCTCACATTATCCAATTGTTCCGTCCCCAATAATCTCTGCTCGTTATTTCTGTGGGGGATTTTCTGTGATGTCTTCTTCTCTTTTCTCGTTTTCTCTCTCTCTCTCTCTCTTTATTGCGGCTCTATACGATGTGTTGTGCCCACGAGTATAATTCTCTTGTTTTGCCCACCCATCATTCGAAATTAGCCAAATCGTTTTTGCTCGAAGCTTATTTTTTAGGGTTTACTAGAGAAGGGATTTTGATGGCCAACCCGGAAATCTAAGGGTTTACTCGATTACGCTAGGAAACTCGGCACAATCTATGGAGTAATTGATTACGCTAGTCTGGTTTGATCGCGTAATTGTTTAGCCTCGATTTTTTCCGCCGTTCGTTTGGATCCCTAGAAACGTTGGCAAAGTGCCAAACGCACATTTTCGAGGGCTAAAACCATAAAAATTCACCGCCACCCCCAGGGTCTCAGGCTTTCTCGGCGACTAGTCCTGCTTCCGGATCAGTTTTGTGAGCTTTTAACGGACCGCAGAAGTCAGTTTTGACCTCGAACGCTATAGATTTGGCTTCCCCGGCCCTTTAAAACCCGCCATCAATCGTTTTTCTCTGCTCTCCCCCCGGCACTTATCGACGATCGATTTGATACAAAATCTGTGCTCATATCCTTTTCTTCCCTTTCTTTTTTTGTCGTTAGCTGTCGCCTATATTCACCCACATTCCCTTCTCATATTCGCCCAAATAGCCATTGTTTTTCATTGTTGTCCCCCGAATCTGTATTGTTGTTTTTTGTTTTTTTTTCCTGTAGGACTTTGTGCATAAATACGTGTTTTAAAAGTGTAATATTGATTGTCTGGCACCCTATTATTTGATAGAACAGAGTATATACAACGCGTTCTGGCGTTTGAAAAACGCATTTTGAAAGCAGCAGCCCCGCATTGTGGCGTCGGCATTGGATGATTTTTTAATTTTCTTGTTTTTCAGGCATGAAACGAGCGAGCGAGGCGATGTTTATGCGCAAAAAGGAGGGCGGCACGATCAACTGCGAGCCCAAAAAGCCGCGAATTGGAGGAGAAGCAGGCTGGTTGATGCGGTTGCCGCCCAACATCTTCAACGGCATCGTCGGATTGCTAGATTCTCGCGCCCTTCAGCAGCTTGCCAAATCGCATGATCAACTGCAAAAGATGGTGCGCGAGTCGGAGAAGCATTGGAAGGATGTGTTCGTCTCCGGACACACTTTCTGCATCGATTATGAGTGCTACGAGAAACTGGACGCCGAGCTGCTGCTCGACAACGCGAAAATCGACAATTACAAGGCGGACGAGCCGGATATTATGTTGGATAGTCGCGGATTGGCGCAGTTGCCAACGGAGTTGGTTGAACTAATTCTGGGGCCTTTGGAGTTTCGTACATTGTTCCAAGTCGAGGGATGTCATGAAAAGCTGAAAACCATCGGTCGTCGCATTCCCGTCGGCTCTGTTTGCCACAGAACGAATAATTTCAACGTTTCCAATGGAGGATTAGAGCCGATTTGGGAGATTGAGAACCCCGTTGTGCGGCCATTGATGAAACTTTTCTCAGGCCGCTGCTCGATGGATTTGTTGGCTAGATTAGGTTGGAAATTTCGCGATGCCACCGATAAAGTCTTTCACGAGATTGACGAAGCAGTGCTACCCGACGATGACGACATGTCGAATTCGCTGCTTGACGGTAGACATGTGACAACTGTTTACTACGTGGGTGCCGATCACGATCTTCATAGATACATCGGCCAATCACCGGTACAGTCGAAGGTGAAGCCGAAGTTCACTTGCGACAATTTCTTCTATCCCTACCAACAGGAGGATCGTTATTTGGACAAGGAGATTCTTCAGGCCCTCAAGCCGAAAAACGTGTGGGCACCGGGCATGACCGAATGGATGTTCCAACCCGATTTTCCGAAAGGTTCGCTGACATTCGGATTCCTACACCAGGACGAATTTGGGAAGGTTGTGGAATTACAAGCGTCGAGGCTCCTCTTTAAAGCCAGTTTCGCTGGCACAAGAATTATCGGCTTGCTGTCTGTGTTCATTGATGAGTGGATGGCCGGCCGTCGGAACATCGAGACGATTGGGATTTTGCCCTATGATAATGACGACAGCTATGATTCTGACTCGTATGAGGATCAGGAGGCGGAGGAGGCGGTGGAGCTGGATGCTAACGGAGAGCCGAAGATTCTGATGAATTTAATGGAGACGTATCCATCGCTAAGGCTTGGCGAGCGTTACCATGCGTGTGGCGTGTTGAAGCGAGTGGACGGAAAGATGCTGGAAGTTCGGGTCGGCTTCCGTTTTGTTGCGTTGACGGCGCCGGGCTTATTTCCTCAAAATCGCGACGAGCTCTATCGTGATGCGCCCGAATCCTAAAGGACAGATTGGGATGTGCCCGAATTTTAAAGTACCCAGAAGCGCGAGAGTTCAAGTGTCTGTTGTTGTTTTTATGAAGTTATTGCAATTGTTAATTTCTCGTTCGATAAATATTTATTTACAATGTTTGCGTCTTTTTATAAACTATGGATGATAGCCATGCAGGATTTTGAGGAGAAGCGGCGGCTACAGAATGCTGAATTTGTCGGGGCATGGATCAGTTTTGAAAACTGAAGGGTGATAATGCGTGAACGAATTTGTTTTTAGCTTTTGCTCCGGGTGGCAGTTTTTGCTAGGAATTCGAAAGCGAGCGCTAGTTTTCTTGCTACCAACTCGCCTCCAGAATTTGTCAATTAGCTCGTGGATTCCTCAAAGTTGTTGCCGGTAACTGAAGCTCTAAATAGTGTTCGTAATTGTTATATGGAGTTCAGGGGCGTAGCCAGAAAAAAATTTCGGGGGGGGGGGCCAAAAAAATTTTTCCAAAAAACTCAAAACATTGCCGAAAAACAGCGCCAAAGGCAGAAATTTTGAAAAAAAAAGGTTGCGGAGCTCTACAAATAGCCGTAAAAACGCTAAAAAATAGCGCCGCAGGCAGCAAAATTTTTGAGAAAATAAAAATCATAAGGGTCCCCCTTACGAAATTTTCGGGCCCCGGCCGATTTCGGGGGGCCGATTCTGTATTACGCTACGTCCCTGATGGAGTTACATGGTAATATGGATTTACTATCATAATTTCAAGAGCTCATTATGCCGAAATTTTTTGCATCCAC